TCTTGTGCATTGGAAGTTGAGCATGGATTTAGAAACCTGTACGTGCTTTGGTTATCGACACCTTTGTGACTAAGAATTTCTAAACGAGTCTTTGGCCCGTTGCAAATATTAGTGCTCTTACGTCTTTGTGAAGCGGGCGTTGTGACTGTATATCATAGCTGCTGCCACACACACACACACACACACACACACACACACACACACACACACACACACACACACACACACAGTCTATTCATAACTTAGTGCTTCAGAGGTTAAGAGTTAATTCTAAGGCCGCTACTGTACAAGCTGGTTCATTGATGACATTGTGCATGCCTGGGGCGCCACACAATTTCGAACTTTGGACATCTAAAGGAAAAAAAAATAGATGAAGTTCGGCTGTACGCATTTTTTTTTTCAGTGTTACATGTGAAGTTCTTATCACTTCTCGGGTATTATACGCTATTTTTTATATATATTTCAGGTACTTTCGCGTATTTTGTCAACATGCGTGACTTTCCAAGATGATGGAGGCGCTACATCATATTAATAAAGAATTAGCTATACATGGGTTTGGTGCCAGTGATTAATTTATCTAGTTATTACAAGGCCACGCTCGGAGACAGGGGGCGTGTTACTGAACCAACAGAGCACCACGAGGGGATGAACACAAAGTTATAGACAAAGAAAAATGTTCTTCTCTCACAGTCAGCCAACAACTGGGGGATAGTTTCCGTGATTCATTCAAGAGTGAAAGTTCATCAAGTTATCGGGTATTGCTGAACTCACTTATGTAATAACACTTACAAATGTATCCTAGGAAGGGGGAGAGGAGTGATGAAAAGGGTCAATTCAGAGTGGCGGTCAGCTCTTTCAGGTCACTAATCAATAAATGACTCGAGTTGCCAGCATCATGTCTGAGGGTTGGCGACCACGTTCCTCCTTTCAACGTTTTCAGGTTAACCTGTTCATTGATCCCGGAGTTTGTATCCCTGTAAGACCCAACTTTTATTTCAAATTATCTATTTTGATGGAAGTCAAACAGGCTAGATGACAAAGACTAATATATATATGTTAATTTTGGGGGGCAAAATCAGTTATTTTGCAACATTCCCGGCATGCGAAATAACTTACAAACAGACAACCTAACCTTATGGTTAGGTTAGGTTAGGATGGCTCGTGTAGATTGATACACAGTTAAGTGGTCCAGTTCCTTTTTTTTAACTTTGGTTTGCCTGTTTGTAAGTTATTTCACCATATATATATATATATATATATATATATATATATATATATATATATATATATATATATATATATATATATATATATATATATATATATATATATATATATATATATATATATATATATATAATCTAGTCTCGTCAGATAAAATCCAGTGTAATGGTTGCTGGTTCATTAAGGAAGTGCTCCCCTGAGATCACAACACACTGGGGCAGCACAAAGGCTGTCATGTACACCTAGAGGTGAGTAGCCCTAATTAACATTACCTGTAGCGGGTAGTGGTCGTCGGGGAGCCAAGAGTGGTGGAGAGGGGTGGAATACGGAGTTCTCTGAGTCTTGTACTTTAAACTTTCTCTTCAGTAAATAAGTGTAACAAGTATCCATTTAAATACGATAGAGACAATTTCAGAACCAATTTCGCCGCCATATTTCCGTCGTGACTAAACGAGCAGATAATCTAGTTTTTATGTTGTCATTTACGTCTATATTAAGAATACAATAATCATTCGGGATGGTGGCCAGGAGGGAGTCGCAGGTGGAAGGCTGAACTAGTGTCGTGACGCTCAGATACGGTGTTTACGGGCGAGTGATGATGGCTTGTTTTGTCTTCGATTCTTAAAAAAATATTACTACTAATGACAATAATAATAAAAATAATAATGATAATAATAACGAAATAAAAATACAGGTACACATAACGGAACGCTTCACAATTTTAATAACGCAGAATATATTTACAAAGTCTTACGTGCCATCAAAACTCGTCACATTCTCTATGTTAAGTAAGAAATCCCTATACACGCCCATTATCTCAAGAGAATGAAATAGTTCCCAACCCTCTACGACCTTGTGTAACATGAACAGAACACAAAAGCACAACTCACTCTTGACCAACTGTGTCTAACTCGGCCATGATCAAACACTGACACGGGGTGCATCAATTACACATCAGGTTTCAAGCAGAGCCCCACCCTCCACTACACAAATCTTGTTCTTATCAACAAATCATAAGGAAAAAGGCAATTCTAACTAGCATCATAACCAGGAGTGAGTCGGAACACGAGCAATGGTCGACAGAGGCTTTCCTGACGGGATACAGGAGCTGAATATATTAGACAGACGAGACTTACGCTTCAGTTCTGTTTCCGTCTGTGATAACTCTACCGCCTTATACATCATCATTTACGTATGTGGTACTAACCTGTTGACCAGCTCTCGTAGTGCCTCTTCATTATCTGAAATAAAAAATATCAACTGCATAGCGATTATTTAATATAGATTTTTCAATTATTTCTATTCCTTCATCGTTACTTACAACTTTAACATTTCAGAATATCATTATTATTGGAGGTGCTGTATTATACTGCGCAACCTTTATCTAACATAACACTACATCTTCCTAAGGCCAGTAATGGTAGTTTAGATTTGTAATAACTCCTTCATATATGTTGATGATCCAAATATTATACAGTACATTAACTTATTTTTTTATTCAGTTTCAGACGTTCTCCTTCCTTAGAGATTTTTACCCGACTTAATGACGTACTGATTTTCTCAGACCCAGATCATTGCATTGCTCACATATATAAAAAAATCTGTCATAAGATTCACTGTAGAAGCTTGAGAAGGTATTGAATAAATTGTAAATATTGAATGATATGGGTTCAGTTTTACAGGTAGACGATGTGATATTGATAATTGTGAAAATATTAAAAGTTAAATTGGGTTTAAATGTTCTGGAAATATTACGCGTGTGGAGTAAAAAAAAAAGCACAGGAAAGAAAGTGGATGACGGAGATGAGAGAGGAAATTGGAAGGAAGTATTTTAGAAGAAAGCTAGATGGTATGACGTGAACAGAATGTACACAATGAATGAAGGAGGAGGCGAGGTAGGCAAGGAGAGCATGGAATGTGGAGGAAGAGGAGAGGAAGACAAATAACAATGGACAGATAAGTGGAGGGATATTTTGAAATTGCTAAAGAGGAAAGTAGAGAATGGGTGAGAGAGATAGAGGAGGAGGAGGAGGAGTACGGGAAGGAGGGCTGTGGGGCGAGCAGAGAGCAGCGTGTGTTTCATAGATCCACAGTAAAAGAGGGAATACTACTACTACTTTTACTAACTACTACTACTACTTCTTTGACTACTACTACTACTACTACATGTTCTACTTATTTTTCGATATAGCATCCAACCTTCCCTCATATCCATACTTTCTTCACACATTTTAACCCATAACTGCTACTACTACTACTACTTACTACTACTACTACTACTTACTACTACTACTACTACTACTACTTACTACTACTTTTTTTTAAACGTGGCCTCCAGCCTCCCCCAATAGCCACACCTTCGCTGCCATTTTATTACTACTACTACTACTACTACTACTACTACTACTACTACTACTACTCTTCTCGTCAAAGATTTTTGTTTACCAGAAGAGAAATTCAACGAGTTTCGTGTTTCAAGTACTCGAGGAACTTCATCCAGAGTGGACTCTCTCTCTCTCTCTCTCTCTCTCTCTCTCTCTCTCTCTCTCCACACTGGCCCTCACCTGTACTGGCACCAACACTACACATAAAGATCGAGCCTGGCACACTGCACTGTTCTAGTCGGAAATTGCTTTACGTTTTCACCATGAGAGGAGAAGAAAGTAATTAGCCAAGAGGGAGAAAGAGAACTAAGAGACAACGAGAACCGACGAGAGACAAAATAAACAAACAAGGAAACAATAAAGCTTTGACTCCTACCTCGTAAACACCGACTCTTGATTAAAAGAAGATGAGGACAATTCTTCTTCATGTGACATCAGAACATGTTAAGCCTTTCACCTGCCTCACGGGTATTTAAAACATCCTGGGCTGTGAGTCTCTTAAGCTTGTATTCTAGATTTACTCAGACACTTGGTAATTTACAGGACTTTCTTTCATTATTTACGACATATTTTCAGCTGAAGAAAACTCCCTGGTATTGACAGTAGATGAAAAAGAGGAACGCCATTCTGTAGACATCAAAAGTGGATCGTAATGTCCCAGAAGCAAAGAGCAGTGATGGTTGTGTTGAACTCTTGATATTACCTCTATGAAATATACACTATACGTGTGTCTGCTAAATTATGCAGAATTTCATGTTGTTAATTTGTGTTTAAATATTCAGTGGACACTATTTATATTGGTATATAAGTCAAGAACAAGTAACACCATTTCCTAGGATTGTTGCAATCTTCTCGGTACGTACAATGAAGATTCAGATATCGAACCATTGCCGTCAAATGAAAATGGTGTTTTTGTTTCTTATTGTCGTTTGCTGATGGTCTTAAATGTTGTCTGACCTGTATGAAGTTGTTCTCTGTTTACAAACGTTTTCTAAGGTTTGTTGACACTGTAGCGAGTCTCAAGAATACATGAGGGAAACTTGTGCAGGAAAAATCGACTTAGTGCATCGGTTGAAATAATTTATATATTTACAGTGAATGTCTTTGTTCACTGCATTTATATAACAAGTTATTATAATAAACTGGTGGTGGCATAATATATATGTGTAATAATACTGTGTGTTATAGTCTGTGTTGTGAGCTTTAATTGCCTCATAGCCTCTATTTCTTTGACTTTTTTAGTAGTCCACAAATTGAGTCGTAACGTTAAAGTTTTCACGTCTTAACGCTAAAAGTTTGTTTTTATTAGTTGACACTTGACAGTAAAAGTTAAGATAAAAATAAAAGTGAAAAAAAAGGGAAGGTGAGCAAGGGGGTTAAAAAATATATTACTCAGAACATTTTCTTTATTAATAAAAATTGGCAAATATCTTACATTGAAGAGGAGACGTTTCAAGTACCAAACTAAACGTCAAAAGCTGGAGAAAGTCTTTACTGAATTTATCAGTACAAAAATCCTAAGCTACGTAGTTGAAGTTTACACGGCTCAGCTCACCAGTGCTGAGACTGTCGACAAAACAAATATAACACTTACACGTCTACTTAATGCACACTTGGTGTGCCATACATACTGTATATGGCGACAAATGAAGTATAAAAAAGCAATAATCACAGGTTTTGACTTCAAGAGTTGAGAGATGATCTCGACCTGCCACGAGAGGTCAGAAGTCTGCTGCGTCTCGAGTTTGTTCTTCTGGTCTCACTCTCTGCTTCAGGGTGGACTTCCGGAGTAGCACGGGCAGATTCGTGCTGGAGGGAGCCGAGACCAGTGTTGACGTTGGCTAGAGCTGAGAGAGCTTCCAACTCCAGGTCGGTCAGAGGGTCGTGGCTGCCGGCAGTAGTATCCTGTCGGGATGTTTTTATGGCTGTGTTTAGTCTGGTTACTCTCCTGCTATTGCCGGAGGATGACCTAGATGATGACGATGCTGAAGACGAAGACAGAGAGGAGTCATGTGCATTATTATTGTCATTACTAACAGTAGACACACTGGATTTAATACTCGTCCCTACAACTCTAAGCTTGAGTCCTGTCGGGATATTGGAGCTTTTAACAGAACTACTGGAGTTATGGTCACCAGAGGACGATGACAAGAAGGAAGAGTTAGAAGATGAAGAAAAAGAATGGGACGACGATGCAGAATCAGAGTTCGACAAGAACCTTGAAGCTGAAACCGATGACGACCTTGTGTTTGTATTAGTTACAGGAAGGCCATTGCTGTTTGATATGGGGGTTACTTTTTTCAAGACTTTCCTGCGAACACTTGCAGTATTGCCACTCCTCGGAATCCCTCTTGTCTGACTCCCAGTTCTCCTTGAAGAAAAACCAGTTGACTCGGCTACAGAAGGCGAGGATATTGTAGTTGTTTCCACATTTTCTTCTGTAGTAGGAGTCTCGTTGAGGGAAATTCTTCGACGCCCGCTATTCCTGTTACGTTGTGATGGAGATGGGATGGGTGTCACCGTTGTTGGAACTTCTGTTGTTGTTGTTGCTGCTGTAGAAGGACGAACTGTCAAGGGTCTAAACCTTCTACTAGACCTGATAATCGATGGCTGCGTCGTAGTAGCAGGTGTGGTTGTAACTACATTATTGACGCGCCCAGAGTTTCTTCTTCGACTACCAAATGACCTGAAGGATCCAGTTGACTGCGAAGACTCGGTGGTAGTTGTCTTAGTGTTCTTGGCTTCTGATGCACTTTTATCTGATTTTGTCTTAACATTTGGTGTAAACTGAACTGACAAAAGTCTGGAGTTTGCAAGACCAGGATTGAACCTTGCTAAAGCATCCAGTGCTCTTTGATGCTTTTTATTTTCTTCCTCGTCCTGGGTTATTCTGGCTTGTGCTGGTGTTTCTGTAGTGCTAGCTTCCCTATTACCCTGAGACCTTGGCCGACCATTTATGATAATCTTTTTTCTTATCACTTTCCTGGTTCCTGAGGTCTGACTACTCTGTCCACTTTCAGTTCTCACTTGGCGGTCGCCTTCAGTACTGGAAACGGAAGAGTGAGTAGCTGAATCCCTCTGAGTAGTTACTTGCCCTTCAGACTGTGTTCTTGGCGTATTCACACGTCGACGACTGCTAATTCGTGTCGAGGGATTGATGCGCACGGGAGCCGCTGTAGTAGTAACAGCTGCAGTGACTCTAGTGTTTACTGGTGCTGTGTTTATCCTTTGTGCTGGAGTGGTCGGCTGTGAAACTTGGATATTTGTCTTTGAAAACGTATGTGAGGAGTCCTGAGTGACGACAGGAGCAATAGTGGTGGTGGCTGGGGGGCGGGTTATGCGGCCTCTACCTCGCGTCTGACTGTTCTGGACTGAGTTAAATGAACTGCTTGAAAAGAAGCTACTAGAACCTCGGGATCCGAATGCTCTTGCACGGGTGTTTTGAGTTGCTTGGCTAGATGTAGAAGTGCTTGATATATCAGGTCTGTATGTGGTTAGAGGAGTTACAATTTCATCATAGTCTTCCACAATATTTGGTTCGGTTGTCACTTCATTCGCAAATTCTGTTGTGGTGTAAAAGACTTCACTTTCTGTGGTGTCTTCCATACCAACAACAATTCTGCTATCAAAATTATTGCGAGAGGCTCCAAGGGCATTGATCCTCACCAGGTCTTGAGTATGAACGCCAGTGTTTGACTGTGTAGTACTACTGGACGCTGATGATCCACGAATTCTTGAATGGGTGTTTGATCCTCGGAAGGAAGAACTAGATCCCCCGGTGTGTGAAGAACCTTGAATTCTTGCAGCCCCACTAGATGTTCTGGAAGAAGCCAGCGATGGTCCACGGATCCTTGAAGAAGCATTTGATTCCTCGTGGAATGAGCTATGTCCTAGAGTGTTCAATTCATTGGCTCCTGAGGAGGACGATGTTTGAGTATTTGAAGACACTCCTGACTCTTGAGTCATCAGTGTACCAGTAAGTTGTTGGGAATTTGAAGATTTATGGAAGCTTGAAGAACCGGGCGAGCCACGAATCCTTGAAGACGCACTGGATCTTTGGGAAGAAAAGTTTGACTCCTGGGTGTTAGACGACCCAGGGAACTCTGAGGAGCTCTCTGAATGTTGTGCAGCTGTTGTCTCATGGCTCTTGACAAAACCATCGGATACCTGCGTGTTCCCTGGTCCACGGAACCCAGAAGAGTCTCGTGATGCCTGAGTGTTGGATGATATTTGAAATCCTGAGGAACTGGATGATTCTCTGTCAGAAAACGTTAATAGCTTATGAACTTCTGAGGAGCCTTGTAGATGTGATGTGCTTCCAGACTCCGTTCCAGCAGAATTCACAATGTTGGATCCAAAACTTGAGACAGTGCCAGCATCTTTTTCTACTTTATTTTCAGACCGAGAAGTTGCTTGATTTGCTGATGACGATACATCTCGGTTGATCGTGTTGGCCGAAGCCGTTCTTAAGGCTCCAGAGCTTCCTCGTCTGTTACTGTGACGCTGATTACCCCTCGGAACAAGATTCTTATTGTTTGCAGAAGACTGGATTGTCCAAAGTGAGGACTGTAGAAGGTATTGTGGAGGCTGGAATTTCTTCTTTCCACGATTTTTAGTTACAGTAAAGTTGGAATTACCGGCGAGGGCGGAGTGGGCGTTTCGGTTGGCCGCTGCTGCTGCTGAAAAGGCAGTCTCGTGTCCCTTGCGTCCCGAGTTTAGAATGTTTCCACGCGTTATTGTTGACGTTCCAGTTGTGGTAATAGAAGAAGAACCTCTTGATCCTGTAAACCCATTAGAGGGCATGGAGTCTCTTATGGTTGAAGATACAGTTGATTCTCTGACTGCTGCTGATGACTCATGACCACTAACAGAAGCACCAGATTCTTGAAAGCTTGATCCATGGCCACCTATAGGAGCACTGGAACCTTGGATGTTTGATGATCCACGTACCCCTGCTGAAGCACCAGATCCCTGAATATGAACTGATCCATGGCCACTTCCAGAAGTACCAGATCCTTGGAAATTTGATGATCCACGGCCATTTCCTGAAGCACGAGACCCTTGGAAGTTTGATGATCCACTCACTCCTGCTGAAGCACCAGATCCTTGAATGCTCGATGATCCACGGCCACTACCAGAAGAAACAGATCCTTGGAAGTTTGATGTTCCACGCACTCCTGTTGAAGCACCAGATCCTTGGATGCTTGTTGATCCACGGCCAATTCCAGAAGCACCAGATCCATGGCCACTTCCAGAAGCACCAGATCCTTGAAAGTTTGATGATCCACTCACTCCTGTTGAAGCACCAGCTCCTTGGATGCTCGATGATCCACGGCCACTACCAGAAGAAACAGATCCTTGGAAGTTTGATGTTCCACGCACTCCTGTTGAAGAACTAGATCCTTGGATGCTTGTTGATCCACGGCCAAATCCAGAAGCACCAGATCCATGGCCACTTCCAGAAGCACCAGATCCTTGAAAGTTTGATGATCCACGCACTCCTGTTGAAGCACCAGTTCCCTGGAAGTTAGATGAGCCATGGCCACTTCCAGAAGCACCAGATCCTTGGATGCTTGATGATCCACGGTCACTTCCAGAAGAAACAGATCCTTGGAAGTTTGATGTTCCACGCACTCCTGTTGAAGAACTAGATCCTTGGATGCTTGATGATCCACGGGCTCTTACAGAAGCACCAGATCCTTGGATGCTTGTTGATCCACGGCCAATTCCAGAAGAAACAGATCCACGGCCACTTCCAGAAGCACCAGATCCTTGAAAGTTTGATGATCCACGCACTCCTGTTGAAGCACCAGTTCCCTGGAAGTCAGATGATCCGTGACCACTTCCAGAAGCACCAGATCCTTGGAAGTTAGATGATCCACTTACTCCTGCTGAAACACCAGATCCTTGGAAGTTAGATGATCCACGCACTCCTGTTGAAGCACCAGTTCCCTGGAAGTTAGATGATCCACTTACTCCTGCTGAAGCACCAGATCCTTGGATGCTTGATGATCCACGGTCACTTCCAGAAGCACCAGATCCTTGAAAGTTTGATGATCCACGGTCACTTCCAGAAGCACCAGATCCATGGAAGTTAGATGATCCACTTACTCCTGCTGAAGCACCAGATCCTTGGATGCTTGATGATCCACGGCCACTTCCAGAAGCACCAGATCCTTGGAAGTTAGATGATCCACTTACTCCTGCTGAAGCACCAGATCCTTGGATGCTTGATGATCCACGGCCACTTCCAGAAGCACCAGATCCTTGGAAGTTAGATGATCCACTTACTCCTGCTGAAGCACCAGATCCTTGGATGCTTGATGATCCACGGCCACTTCCAGATGCACCAGATCCTTGGAAGTTAGATGATCCACTTACTCCTGCTGAAGCACCAGATCCTTGGATGCTTGATGATCCACGGCCACTTCCAGAAGCACCAGATCCTTGGAAGTTAGATGATCCACTTACTCCTGCTGAAGCACCAGATCCTTGGATACTTGATGATCCACGGCCACTTCCAGAAGCACCAGATCCTTGGAAGTTAGATGATCCACTTACTCCTGCTGAAGCACCAGATCCTGGAGGCTTGATGATCCACGGCCACTTCCAGAAGCACCAGATTCATGGAAGTTAGATCCACTTACTCCTGCTGAAGCACCAGATCCTTGGATGCTTGATGATCCACGGCCACTTCCAGAAGCACCAGATCCTTGGAAGTTAGATGATCCACTTACTCCTGCTGAAGCACCAGATCCTTGGATGCTTGATGATCCACGGCCACTTCCAGATGCACCAGATCCTTGGAAGTTAGATGATCCACTTACTCCTGCTGAAGCACCAGATCCTTGGATGCTTGATGATCCACGGCCACTTCCAGAAGCACCAGATCCTTGGAAGTTTCGTGATCCAGGCACACCCGTTGAAGTACCAGATCCTTGGAAGCTTGATGATCCACGGCCACTTTCAAAAGAGCCAGATCCTCGGAAGTTAGATGATCCACTTACTCCTGCTGAAACACCAGATCCTTGGATGCTTGATGATCCACGGCCACTTCCAGAAGCACCAGATCCTTGGAAGTTAGATGATCCACTTACTCCTGCTGAAGCACCAGATCCTTGGATGCTTGATGATCCACGGCCACTTCCAGAAGCACCAGATCCTTGGAAGTTAGATGATCCACTTACTCCTGCTGAAACACCAGATCCTTGGAAGCTAGATGATCCACGCACTCCTGTTGAAGCACCAGATCCTTGGAAGTTAGATGATCCATGGCCACTTCCAGAAGCACCAGATCCTTGGAAGTTAGATGATCCATGGCCACTTCCAGAAGCACCAGATCCTTGGAAGTTTGGTGATCCACTCACTCCTGTTGAAGCACGAGATCCTTGGAAGCTAGATGATCCATGGCCACTTCCAGAAGCACCAGATCCTTGGAAGTTAGATGATCCACGCACTCCTGTTGAAGCACCAGATCCTTGGAAGCTTGATGATCCATGGCCACTTCCAGAAGCAACAGATCCTTGGAAGTTAGATGATCCATGACCACTTCCAGAAGCACCAGATCCTTGGAAGCTTGATGATCCATGGCCACTTCCAGAAGCAACAGATCCTTGGAAGTTAGATGATCCATGACCACTTCCAGAAGCAACAGATCCTTGGAAGTTAGATGATCCATGGCCACTTCCAGAAGCACCAGATCCTTGGAAGTTAGATGATCCACGCACTCCTGTTGAAGCACCAGATCCTTGGAAGTTAGATGATCCATGGCCACTTCCAGAAGCACCAGATTCTGAAGTTAGATGATCCACGCACTCCTGTTGAAGCACCAGATCCTTGGAAGTTAGATGATCCACGCACTCCTGTTGAAGCACCAGATCCTGGAAGTTAGATGATCCATGGCCACTTCCAGAAGCACCAGATCCTTGGAAGTTAGATGATCCACGCACTCCTGTTGAAGCACCAGATCCTTGGAAGTTAGATGATCCATGGCCACTTCCAGAAGCACCAGATTCTTGGAAGTTAGATGATCCACGCACTCCTGTTGAAGCACCAGATCCTTGGAAGTTTGATGATTCATGGCTACTTCCAGAAGCACCAGATCCTTGGAAGTTTGATGATCCATGGCCACTTCCAGAAGCACCAGATCCTTGGAAGTTAGATGATCCACGCCCTCCTGTTGAAGCACCAGATCCTTGGAAGTTAGATGATCCATGGCCACTTCCAGAAGCACCAGATCCTGGTTAGATGATCCATGGCCACTGCACCAGATCCTTGAAGTTTGATGATCCACGCACTCCTGTTGAAGCACCAGATCCTGGAAGTTAGATGATCCAGTTCCAGAAGCACCAGATCCTTGGAAGTTAGATGATCTTGTTGAAGCACTTTAGATGATCCATGGCCACTTCCAGAAGCACCAGATCAAGTTAGATGATCCACGCACTCCTGTTGAAGCACCAGATCCTGGAAGTTAGATGATCCATGGCCACTTTCCAGCACCAGATTCTTGAAGTTAGATGATCCACGCACTCTGTTGAAGCACCAGATCCTTGGAAGTTTGATGATTCATGGCTACTTCCAGAAGCACCAGATCCTGGAAGTTTGATGATCCATGGCCACTTCCAGAAGCACCAGATCCTGGAAGTTAGATGATCCACGCACCTGTTGAAGCACCAGATCCTGGAAGTTAGATGATCCATGGAAGCACCAGATCCTGTTAGATGATCCATGGCCACTTCCAGAAGCACCAGATCCTTGGAAGTTAGATGATCCACGCACTCCTGTTGAAGCACCAGATCCTTGGAAGTTAGATGATCCATGGCCACTTCCAGAAGCACCAGATCCTTGGAAGTTAGATGATCCACGCACTCCTGTTGAAGCACCAGATCCTTGGAAGTTAGATGATCCATGGCCACTTCCAGAAGCACCAGATCCTTGGAAGTTTGATGATCCATGGCCACTTCCAGAAGCACCAGATTCTTGGAAGTTTGATGATCCATGACTACTCACAATAGCAGTGGATCCTTGGAAACGTCCACCAGACCCACGAGATGCAGATGTCCCTTGGTTATTTATTGAAAATGACGATCCATGTCCTCCTGATGCGGCTGATCCTCTCTTTCTTGTTGATCCATGACTCGCAGATGATCCAGATAACCCTTGTGTGTTTGATGCTCCGAGGGAATTATGGGAGAGAGTGAATCCTATGGACCCGGTTGATGATGTAGGGGAAACCACGACAGAATTTCCTCCTGTGAATGCCGTAGACCCTCTGGAGAACGAGGCGCCAAATTCATCATGGGACCCGGCAAATGGAGCGTCGTTGAAGTCTCTTTCGGATTCAAAGGCAGACTCGGTGGTGATGAAGGCGTCGTAATTCTCCTCTTCTGTGTAATATTCGGTAGTAGTTGGGATGGTGACTCCGATAGTGGAGGGATGGTGGACGGTCGGGGATACGCCTCCACTCTGGATCTCTCCGTGGAGGTGAACTATACCAGAAGAGAAACCAGGGATTTGGAGAGGAGATGCGGAACTTAAGGTCTTCGGTGGTGTTGTGGGACGGGGAGTGACGGGTTGACGGGTAGAAAAAACCGGCTGACGGGTAGGAGAGACTGGTTGACGGGTAGGGGAGACTGGTTGACGGGTAGGAGACACTGGTTGGTGGGCAGGAGACACTGGTTGGTGGGTAGGAGAGATTGGCTGATGACTTGGAGTAACTTGCTGGTGGATATGGATGACTGGTTGAGGTGTAACAGCTGATGAGCCGAGATTTCCTGAAGCGTTCTGTGAAAAAGATGCAGAGCCGCGGTTACTTGATCCTGATATTCCACTGTTACTGGATCCTACTGAGAGACGATTAGTGTTGAAGCTGTTGGCGGATCCTGAGGAAGAAGACTGTGTCCTTCCTCTTGATGTGAAAGAAGACCCAGGAATCGTCTCACCTATGCTTGAGACCGCGCCGAGTGTTTGACTGCTTGTGAATAACGTGTCCTGGGAAGCCCCGTCTATTGATTTTGTGGAGGCGAATTCTTCATTATGAGCAACAGATTTCGAACCGTGAGCATTTGTTGTTGTGGCATGTTGTGTGAAGCCTGTCGGTGAGCCTTGAATGTTGGTTACAGCTGAGCCAGAGGAGAAAGTGTTGGACCCTCTATTGCTTACCGAGGTTGTTCCACTGTGGCCTGAAGCTGATATAGGTATACCGTTGACGGTGATACGAAAGGCTCCCGAGTTGATTGTTGTCGCTGTGTTACCTTGCTGTCTATTTTGTCCTGGTCTTACAGATGGAGCTGGAGTGCCATTGGTGCTGCTGGTGGTGGATGAGGCCGAACTCGTAAACAGTTGTGAGGACCCGGGAGTTGTAGGTGTCCCGGAAGCAGAGAACCCAGACGATCCGCGGGAAGAGGAACCGAAGGAAGATGCACCGGCCCTGGTAGAGGTGCCAACATTCGCTGCTGAATTATCATCTTTCTGTGTTCCTCGAGAGAGAGAGTTCTGATGGTTGACTGACACAGTGGAAAATATTTGTGATCCAGGAGGTATTATGGGCTCAGTGTTTTCAGATATGGTCGTCGAAAATTGGCTTCCAGCTGTTGAACCAATTGCAACATTGTGCCCGGTTGATCCAGTAACGAATGAAGCGGGCTGAGCTCCAGATGATCCAGAGGAGTGAGAAAAATGGGAAATCGGTACAACTGGTTCTCCGATTTGCAATTCTGAATCAACCTGGTCAGGTGTTCCTCTGCCTGTCACTGAAGATGTTGCTCCAGAGGCCTGACGATTACCTGAAGAAACGTCCGAACTGGGGGCCTGAGAAGAAAACAACGAGTCTGTTTCTTCGGAGCTTGAAAACCCCGTTGAGGAGAAGGATAACTTAGCATCAGCTGAACCTGAAAACGCTGCGGCGCTGAACTTGTGGGCGCCTGTGACGGCCGCCTTCGGGTTGATAGGACGCTTCTTATTACGGGCGCGTTTGCCGATGTTCTTGTTGAGGTCATAGAGTGTGTGAGCCTTAATGCAGGGGTACGATCGGTCTTCGTCGATACAGGTGCGTGAGTCTTGGCTGAACCGTGTTTGATTTGGACAGAAGAAACTGCAAGAGAGAAGATGCTGTTACTCTACCATCATGTTGGTCTCACACTGTATGCCTTAAAGATACAAACCGGAGGTATATTTATAACTACAGTAACTGGGGAGCCCGGTGCTGCCCAGTTTGTTTCTAATGGGCATCTGATAGATCAATGCCCTTGACTACACTATCAACAAACCCTGTCGACTATACTACATCTACTACACTATCATCTACATTAAATCAACTACACAAACATCTACAAAAAATTTACTACACTATTATCTACACAACAGCAACTCAAGTGTTGTTGTTTTTTATCGCTGTACTTGTAGTATTTAAGTAATCTACTAAGACCCTTTTGACTGAGTGCGAACGATGAAGAGGTAAAAAAGACTTTGATGAATATTTTTATCATCCATAAAAGAAAGTGTATCGCTGGAGGAGAAGACTAGGTTATTAATATGATGTCAGAAGAAAGTAAGAGAAATAAGTGAGCCTTGAGGCACTCCAGCGTTGATGAGGAAGGAGTGTTAGTAAACCACCCACAACTGTACTGGTGTGGCGGCTGGTGAGAAGAAGGCGATCAGGGAAACAGTAGAATCAGGGGGATGGTGAGATGGATGTTTTTTAAAAGAATCTAATGCTTTTAACCGAATTTATCATTTATTGAGAAGGAAATTTAACTTTTCTCCCTTCGTGTTATACTATTAAACCTGCTACAGTGTCCTAAAAAAAATCGTTCATCTACTTCAGTAATAAAAAAGATAATTGTCCAGTAATTTTGAATTGAAAGCATGTATGAAATTACGGTTAATATTTTTGTAAACTATAGAAAATATGATTATGTCAGTGAAAATACCGTAGAGTTTCAAGAAATCGTATTTGTCATTAAAATTACAGGTTAATTCCTATTTAGGTGTGACCTGATGATGACTACCTTGATCACCTGAAATTTGTAGCATTAAGAACCTCTTCAACTTGAAGCTCAAGACTTATGCTTTCACATGAAATTAATTTACCATTTTTACCAAACAAAATGAACTAACTTTGTGTATTCCAAGTTATTGAAATCACTTTATTTATACTATGAAATAATATACAATTCATATTATATTAACCATACAACACCTAATTGTTTACCGTAGAAACGTCAAAAACACCATAAAACTCCCATCATTTACCATAACAAAGAACCATTAATCAATCATCGTTAATTATAATTATTAAAAAAAAAACTCACCTGAACTGAAACGTGTCCATGATGCGGCCAGTGGCGGTCTTGACAGGCATACAGATATGGAAGACCTTACACTTGTGGCTCTGATCGGCGTAGTAACCATACTCCCTCCCATCACAGCTGAAGTTGGCATTCAGTTCACCAACTACGGACTCAGCCTCTGCCGCGAAGTCGAACGCTCGCGGCCGTGATGAGCTGAACTGTTGAGGAAGTGTGGCAGGTGAGAGAGTTGTATGGTAAAGGGGCGAAAGGTGAGAGATCTGTGTGGTAAAGGATGAGAGAGTTGTGGGGTGAGAGATGTGAGGTGAGAAAACTGGATGGTGAGGGATGTGAGAGGTGAGGGATCTATGCCGAGTAGAAAAATGTCAATAAAGGTGTCAGCAACTATGGGCATATGGATAGCATAGATCTCACCTATCAAAATGTAGATATATATAGATACACATATATAAAGCACATAAATATATACACATATGTATCTTCCTTCTCTTATAACACACACACACACACACACACACACACACACACACACACACACACCATCTCTCTTGTTTCCACCACAGTCAAGAGAACGTGTACACTGTTTGAGTAGAGACCAGTGATGGAGGGAGGGCGAGATGAACGAGCCGCCCTCACGAACCGAGTGAACTAACCCCGTGTTGCTGCCCAAGATAACTGCTGAGAGAGAGAGAGAGAGAGAGAGAGAGAGAGAGAGAGAGAGAGAGAGAGAGAGAGAGAGAGAGAGAGAGAGAGAGACGTATGTATAGGTTAGTGAGGGAAAGGTGTAGAGAAGTGAGAAGAAATGGGTGTATGTGCTTGTGTGAGGGAGGATAGGTGTAGGAGGGAGGACAGGTGAGGGGGAGGACAGGTGGGGGAGAGGGGGAGACAGGTGGGGGGGAGGGGGAGATATAAATGTAGGTTAGAGATAAAAAATAACGCATCAGTAAAAGAGGTGTGAAAAAGAGTGAGAAATCTAGAGATACGGGGAGACAGAGAGTGAAATGGCGGGGAGAGAAAACAGGGAGTAAAAGAGAGAGAGGAGAGGAAAGGTAAACACTCACTGTTATTGAGAGGAGATAGAGAAGGGAATCTTTTTACCAGTAGGAGAGAAGAGAAGGAGAGTTTAACTATGAGAGGAGGAGGAGGAAGAAGAAGTACGAGGAGTGACAGAGAAGAGAGGAATTTACATAGAACAGGAGAACGACATCAAAAAATTTGCAAGAAGAATCTATAAGAATGAGGAAAGATGAGAGTAAGAGAGAAAGGGGAAGAGACTGTAGAAATGGTGAGAGGAGAGCGTGGGAGTGGAGAGAGAGGAGTGTGAGAGGTAGGAGGGGGGGGTGATGGTTGGAGTAGGGACGTCCCGTTGATTAAGGCGATACGTCAGGGAAAATAAGACACTCAAGAGAGAGACTGGTACATATTATACATTCATTTAAGTATTTATGTCAATTATTAGTTAAATTACCAAAGTTTAATGACGAAAGTTATACAAATGAGGTAAACAATATCTAAATATTTACAAATATATAAACCAGAGGATAGAGAGTAAGGGTGTGAGCAGTAGAAAACAGAATTATAAAACTTTGTGTGAAAAAAAATGTGAACCATCGACTCTAAATTTACTATTCTCGATCAGGCAAATAAATTCCCATATATGAATCAATAATAAAAGAGTGAGTTAATACCATTACTTGTATAAACTCGTAAAATATCTCTATGAACCAACAGCTCTGCAATCCTAACAAGTTATCACCAAATTTCAAGAGATAAGCTATAAAGTTCAGCTGGAAAAAGAAAAAAATCCGAGTCAGGTTTTTTTTTTTCCCCGTGCACGTAGAGTCAACACTGGAGGCGAGAGCTGGACCAATACTGCCTTCTTCACCGCCTCCTCCCTGATATTTATACTGTGGCGGAGGCAATGCTGCGGGGGGAGTTACTTATTGTCGAATTTCCTCTCTAAATTTCTGAATTTTTCCCCAAACTTTTTGTCTCAAAATTCTCCTCCAACTGCGTGGAAAATTATGACCGTGAGTGTTTATAAATTTTCTCACTAGTTTTCCCAAGTTTTCCATATTAAGATTTTAAGTTTTCCTTTGTAATTTATTTTGTTTTCTTCTTCCGTTAATTAATACAAAGTCTAAGAACCCAATTTAGAGAGAGAGAGAGAGAGAGAGAGAGAGAGAGAGAGAGAGAGAGAGAGAGAGAGAGAGAATGGCTAAATCTATTAATTTATCTATCCAACACACACACACACACACACACACACACACACACACATAGATATGAAGCTTAAAGCTGACGAATAAAACTAAAAAAAAGAAAATCCCTCCAACTACCGGAGTGTTCAGTGACCTCCTGAACTGAGTCCTTCATGTGGTGGCAGTTCACACGGACCACCAGTCTTAATGGGACCAAACCTATCCACCTAATGACCTCTACTCCTTATTGTCTCAAGTCTTATGGGTCCTAATACTAATGAACTCCACACTTAATTACCACCAAGACTAATGATTATATTGGGTTAAGCAGCAGGGAGACATTATGACTCGGGTATATTAACAATGAGAGATATTTGACCTATTACCCCTTCATACTGTGACCTCGCCTGACCTTTTGTCTTCTTGCTATCCCGTTATTCACTCCTCTTCCCGGGTCACTCCTCCCACTTACCGTGTGACCTCTCCTACAGTTCACTACACACCAAAAAAAGACCTGAACTATTGAATAATACATTATATATATCATCTGATTATTTAGATATTTGTTAAACCTTATTCATTGTTTTCATGTTTGTGGTTCATGAACACGAGTTAGTGTAAAACGTCAATCTTCAATTGTTTTCTCTAATAATTTTCGGTAACATGAAAAATAGTCATCGATTAGTTCTTTAAATGGTCAGACGTTGTTTTGTATATTAATTTTGTACGACTACTACTACTATACTACTACTACTAATAATAATAATAATAGTAATAATAATAGTAGCAAGACCATAATATCTACTACTACTAGTAATAATAACAACAATAACAACAACAGTAGTAATAATGATTAATAATAATAATAATAATAATATAACTTATTGGCGCGTGCAGTAATTATGCCTAATTATCAAGTTGATGCAGGTAAATAGTTGAGGGAGTGTAGTATATATATAACATTTATATATTAGTTATTGGTATGGTGAACATTTCCATGGTGAAATATTATGAAAGAACTCTCTCTCTCTCTCTCTCTCTCTCTCTCTCTCTCTCTCTCTCTCTCTCTCTCTCTCTCTCTCTCGGTAATTTATGTATAATATTCAGCAAAATAATCACCCCAAAAAGTATTAATATTGTATTGTGTTTTAAATCCTAGAGGACATGGAAAAGGTTTGTGTGTTAGATCATCAACAAACAATTCAGAAAAGTTTTGAGTGCTTACATATCATACTCCGCCAAGCATGGGGAAAGTTTATATACTTCGTGCCTCAGCCTCGACAAAGCACCAGGAAAATACTTAATATTTCATCCTCTAAAAAGCATGTGAAAAGTTTTACAATTTTTTCTCGACCTACTTTTAAATGAACTGGGAAAATGATATCATTTTGGTTACACTTGGCCAAATTTTGATACTGTGGGCTGTCGACTGCAGAACACGAGGAAAAAGTTTCAATAGTTTGGCAAAAGACTCGATATTTTCTTGTTTGTGAAGACTGAGGGAAAAATAATTGATTTTGGATTTGGCAGCTAAATGGATCCCAAGAAAGTATTCGGGATTTTATTTCCTCCGAGAGATTTTATTTCCCTCGATGAACCAAAAGTTAAAAGAAAATCAGAATTAATCCAAAAGTGCCAATAATTTTCCTTCTATTTAGTTGAAGCGATGATTCAGAAAACTAGAAATTTGTGGTAAGAAAATCCGAATAAATTTAACACGATGTACTATAAAAAATTAATAATTTAGTCATTTATCTATTTTATTATTCTTTAATATATATTCAGGTTCATTCACTGGGGGCTAGAGAGACTCAACTCATACTTAATACCCTGGTCTTCATAATCTGTACTAGACGACCAAAACTTTTAATACTTTGGAGAAAAAAGTTTGGTTATTTTGGCTTTGTATGACACTTGAGGTTTAAAATAAAATATACTTTGTTTCTCGTTCACTGCAATGGTTCGGTAAAATTCAATGCACCGATATAAAAATTTTGGGGGGATCACGTGAAGATCTGGCACCCAAGTTTATCTCACCTTAATTTTAACCATCCTAACCTAACCTAACCTAACCTAACCTAACCTAACCTAACCTAACCAAACCTAACCTAACCCAACATAACGTAACGCAACCTAACCTAACCTAATGAAAAAGCCCAGTTAGCGTTAGGGTGATTAATCTTTAGGTCAAATAAATCCGAATGCTTAATTTTCATGTAATACAGAGTCATACAGGTGTTGCTTTAATGTAAATATCATATAAATGTACCTGGAAAAGTGAAAGTCGCTCCCATTGGCGTGTTAGGGGCAGTCTAGATACAGCATATAGAAGACAAATATTCAGTACACAAGGAGTTAATGTATCCGGCGCTGGAACTGACCGTCAATTGAGGAAGAAAATGTCACTTTCCAACGTGTGAAAAAGAAGACAAGTTTTTCCTCTTCATCACGCAATGTCACTTCCCTGCTTTATCGACATTCCTCCATCCCCTTGTATCTTCTATGGTCGATGAGTTTGAATAAGGTCAGGTGAGGGTAAGCGAGAGGTCAGACTAGGTTGAATTACCCTTTGTTAGGTTGAGTGAGGTTATAGGTTAGCTGGAGGCTGGTGGAAAGGTAGGTCAAGATTGGTAAGGGTCAGAGGTCAAGATAAACATGAAACTAAGAAGAAAACACAAAGAAAGAGAGAATATCAAGCAATAGAAATAGAAAGGGAATATCAGTCAAATATTAATAAACGAAAGAGAAAGAGACAAAAAATAATAGAGATTGAAAGAGAGAGAGAACTAAAATACTATCAACTGCTGAAGAAAAAAAAAAAAAATAGAGGTCAAGCAATAGAAGACGACATGCGAAGACAGTCAATGGTCGACGAGGGAGAGGAAGAAACTTGGTGAGATTCCGCTCAAATGTAGCGGGTTGGTGGAATTGAGCAATCAGGGTGATGGCAACATCGTGACGCAGCGCCCAACTCCCAAGAATATATGGTGACTCGCCGC